GAGGAATACATTAACTCACATGTGCTCAGGGTGTGCTAGCGATTAGATCACGTCAGCAGTGTGGCTCATTCTTGAAGCAAAGTTTTGCCTGAATGATGATTAGATTCACTGTTTTGGATCGCTGCATTTAAACTGAGAATGCATGTACTCGGTGTGTGATGGAGTCAACAGTAATAGCACATGCAGCGGCAGCCTCCCCCGGGTCCTAAAGCCCGCTCAGTAAGGAGTTTTAATTCTGTAGGGGGCGCTGTTGGCCTACTTCTAATGAGATGAAAGCAAAATACACAAATAATTATTAGACTGTGTTTCTGATTAAATAAAGCAGTAATTGATGCCATAAAATCATGAGTATGTTTTGATTTAAAGGTCAGAATCTATAGCTTACATGAAAACAAATCACAAACATGACACTTAAATGAAATAATTTTATATATACTGATTTATTAATTAATGTGTAATATGTTATATTTTTAAAACAAATTATGAGCTCTAAAAGATTTTCAGAATTTTTACTCTTCAGAACTCTTTTGCTTTAGACCATTTACAAATGTTAAATCATAAAATAAAATGTTAAGGTTACCACTGCATCTTTCTGGAAAAAAATGCAGTGATTAATATATAGTTTATTTATAGTTATTTTCAAATATTCAATGCACTGTCATTATAAAAGAACTTTATTATTGTTTATTTAATTCTAACAAATAAGTTATTGTTAAAAATGAACCAAAATTAAAAATAATTATATATCGGTGTCTGCATCGGCTATCGGCCAAAATGAGTTGAAAATTATTGGCATATCGGATATTGGCAAAAATCCAATATCGTGCATCCCTAATGATTATTATATCGTCATTGACACCATGGGCCAAATATTGATGTGTAGATGTTTACGAGTAAGATAACCGTTTTAATAAAAACACTGATGAAATGTGAGACTAATGATTTGTGATGGGGAAAAAAATCAAGTTAAACATTTGTAATGAAAAATAAATGGGAAAAACGTAAGGTAAACATCACTTGTGATCATACTGTGAAAATTGTAAAAAAAAAATTTAATGTAAAAAATGCCTTTTTTTTTTTTTAATGTTTAAATGTTTTTAATTTTGACATTTCAGCAGTGTATTTTAAACCAGATGTTTGTAAAATAAATTAAATGTTTGTGGGAAAAAAAAGATCAGATCACATATTTAAATCGATTTTCAACCGGCTCGCGGTTAATCGCTACATCCCTAGTTCCTTGTGTACATACTCTGATAAAACACACTCCAAAGTATTTTCATGAAAATGCATGACCATGTTAAGATTAGTAGGCCCTTTAATCTGAATATTTCATGTTTTGTTGAAGAGTTTTATGCAGGTAGATTCAGTACTTGTGCTTTTGTGACTGTGAATCAATCTGCCACCGTTTGGACTTGGAATCCGCTCTAAAATCTGTAACTCAACCGTGTCATGTGAAGATATTTGAGAACATCGAGACACTCGTTGGCATTCAGCCCGACATTTACTCACCTGTCCATTCAGAGCCGTGTAGCGTCTGTGTTTATGTGCTAACTGCGCTTTATAGTTCATCATGACGGTTATTTCAGTTCAACGTTCAGTTGATGTTTGAGCTGCTCGTCCGTTGAGTGATCAGCATTGGTTTTGCGGTCAGTTATGCGTTCAGTCTGCATTCCTAGAGATTTGTAATGTCTACAGCCCCTCAAACCCACGCTACCCTCCCAAACTCACTGTCACCATGAGCAGTCCTCCTTAAAATGCTGATAGGAGCTGTATATTTAGTACACTTTTAAACTGTAAATTGTTCACTTTATCCTGAAGTGCTCAAGTTAGTAATTTTCACTGTTCGTCTTCTTTATTACAGGATATACTACTGGTATGACGAGAGGGGGAAGAAGATGAAGTGCACAGCGCCTCAGTATGTCGACCTCGTCATGACTTTTGTGCAGAAATTAGTGACGGACGAAGAAATCTTTCCCACAAAATACGGTGTGTATGATCGCTGCCCTCTAGCAGTCGTAATAGAGAAATACAAGAGTTGAGATTTGTAAGTTCGAAGTAAAATTCATTAGATCAGTGGCGCCCTCTAGTGTTCATTGAGGAGAGTGAGTTTTGTGAATGTAATTTCGTTTTAAAATATTGATCACTTGTGCCTATTTGTTTTACATTTAATTTAATTCTTGTAAATGAAAGTGAAACAATAAATAATATGGTTTAATTCATATACAGATCAGGGTTGTTTTGTTTAATGTCAACTAAAACTCAAACCATAAAAACTAATTACTTGAAGTAAAAAATTAATATTAATATGATTACTGAAATAATAAAATAAAATACAAACACAACTTGTTTTGTTTTACCTAGTTGCCAAGGCAACCGTTTCCTTTCTTGTTTAAAGTTTAAATAGTAAAATAAATAAATTCAGTTCAATTCAATTCAAGTTTTAGCTTTGCAGAAAATGTATGTTTCTATTTGAAAGTTTTTACATTATATTTGGTAGTAGCTTATCAGTGGTGTCCATATGGCAGAAATGTACAGTAAAAAATGCATACTATATAGACATATAACAAAACTCAACAAAATGACTAAACTAAGACTATAATAAAAATATTTAAAAAAAAATCAAATATATATGAATTATACTAAATAAACTGGCACAAATTATTGTCATTTTATTGTTGTAATTAAAAGTAAATAAAGTATTGAACATATTTAAATAAACTTTTTATTTGAATAAAAACATCATTATAAATCATTGCAAGTAATAATAATAAATCAGCATTTTTGTAATCCTAGCATGCTATTCATATTTAAATAACGTCAATTAACATTTAAATGAATTATAAGCAGTAAATAACATTACTGGCTTGTTTTACTTAAACCTGTTATTTTAATAACATATACTTTTAATATGTATTTAAATTTACAAGCGATAAATGCAATGAAATTGAAAACAAATAGCACAAATGATAAATGACTAAATTTAGTTTTAATTTCCACATTTGTTGTAGTGTTTGAAAAAGGCCTGCAAAAATAGCTGTGCTCATTATAAATACCTTTTATTATTAACTGTCATTAAACAATTACTAAATAAAACTTTTTTGAGGCAATTATAACATGCTGTTTTACTAATAATTAAACTTTGTTTTTTACTTATTTAACAATCAAACATTAAATTGAAATGAAAACGAAACTTATTTATTATTCTTATTTTTAAATGATAACTGATATCTCGATTTGCTTTCAGGCAAAGACTTTCCCAACTCGTTCGAGTCTCTGGTGAAGAAGGTCTGCCGGTATCTGTTTCACGTGTTGGCTCACATCTACTGGGCTCACTTTAAAGAGACGGTGGCTCTGGAGCTGCAGGGACACTTGAACACACTGTATGCACATTTCATCGTCTTCGTCAGGGAATTCAACCTGGTCGAGCCCAAGGAGACCTGCATCATGGACGACCTGTCAGAGGTGCTGTGCGCCCCCCTGCCGCATTACATAGCCTACTTAAAGGTGCATTCAGTAGTTTGGTGATAATTTGAAATGTATTATACATTAGGAAATAGGCCTATGTTGTGTTTTTGAGGAGAGTCATTTGAATGGTATGGAATGGTTTATTCCGCTGCGGAATAAAAAAAATAAAAAGATAATTGTGACTTTTTATCTCACAATTCAGACTTTATTTTTACAATTCTGAGGGGAAAAAATCGTCAGAATGACCAGATACAAACTTCTTTTCTTGCAATTCTTACTTTTTTTCTCTGAGTTTATATCTTGCAATTTGTTTTGTTTGTTTTTTTCTCCTGCCTCGGGAATAAAACATTTGTGAGTTTTTATCTCACAGTTGTTGGGTTTTTTCTCACAATTGAGAATTTCCAGAATTGTGAGTATCTTAGAATTCTTTTTTACTTATTCTTTTAGAATAAATTTTTCTCAGAATTACAAGTTTATACTTAACTCATTTTGCAATTTTAACTTTTTCTGAGAATTGCTATTACCCTTTTTTATTTTCTTATTCAATGGCAGAAACAGCTTCCGCAGAATAATGTACACTCAAATGAGATGAAGACTGTAATTACTCAAAATAATTTTCTATAAAAGTGTTATCATTAAGATAATAAATGATATTCGCTTAAATTCTGATTCTGAACTCATCTGTTTAGCTGTGCATTTACTGAATGAGCACTGTGCAATGTCCGAACTGATTGCACTATATTTTATGTATAATCATTTTCTATTCTTAACTGTTTTAAATTAATTTTAAACCTCTTAAATCCATTTTTAAATCATTTTCAAAGTTTTCAATTCCTTGTTTTATTGTTGTGATTATTTTTTGTATTTTTTTTTCCATTTATTTTATGTAAAGCACTTTGAATTACCATTGTGTATGAAATGTGCTATATAAATAAACTTGCCTTGCCTTGCCTATAATTATGTATGATGCGGGTCGCCCTATCAGTGTGTATCGCCATGTTGAATGGACGTAAACCGCGCGTTTCTCTAGCGTCATAGAGGATCCTCGCGCTCATTGGCTGCCGCCTTTATAGACACCTTATTAGCTTAGTGTACTGACATTAGACAACGGAACAAACTTGTTATACTGCTTTACCAGCGGACACAACGGGAAAAATCAGTTTCTACCTGTACAGCCGAAGAAGCAGCTTTGAAGACAGAAGAACACAAATGAGAATAAACATTGGAATGGCAATAACAAGATGAAAAGTAGTGATAAGGGAAAAAATCCTAAGTGGTGATGCCCAAGTTGCTTCTTTTTGTGTTAGACAGGTAAGAGAATTAATTATCATGTAAACCGCCCTCTAAAACTCACGAATATCAGTGTAATTAAACTGAATAAAACTCAGAGACAATCATGCTAGCTAATATGTAGGTCAACTTCACAACCTCTAGTACTACTTGGTATGACCACAAGATGGCAACGTTTCTCAATAAAGACGCTGTTACGCATAAACCTGGCGTAAATTTACAAATTTTAAAATCTCATGAATATTGATTAAGGTAAGTCACTGGGCAGGTCAGGACGGGTGCCAAGCAACATCAGTATAATTATATTCTGGTAAATCAGTTGTTTGAAAGCAACTTCTTTAAATGTACTGTATAAGTGTTAAACAGAAACCCAATACAAATACACAGGCTGGTTTATTTATATAACAAGGCAGGCATAAAACGGATTTTATGAAATGTCATGCTCTTCCTCAAAGCAAGTGCAGTCATTCAACACCCTGAGAGCTTCATTCAAACGTGCATATCTCTCAACAAGAGAGCTTTATATAAAGAAAACACGTACTTTCAACAGTGCATCCGTATTTCTTAGAACTGAATATCCTCACTAAAATATATAATATTAATATATAATATTGCTCTAATGTTTTACTGTGAATACAAACGTGGTATTTCAGCATTAAACTCCTGAGACGTACCAATTAAAGGGGTCATATGATGCGATTTCAATTTTTCCTTTCTCTTTGAAGTGTTACAAGCTCTTGGTGCATAAAGAAGATCTGTAAAGTTGCAAAGACTAAAGTCTCAAATCCAAAGAGATATTCTTTATAAAAGTTAAGAGTCAACCACACCTACCTAAAACGACTCGTTCTAACACTCCCCCACATGTCTACCTCACGATGTGGGAAGATTTGCATAACGCCGCCCAAATGGTCACGCAAAGAAAGAAGGCGTAACTTTTATTCTCGC